AAAAAATAGACATCATACAGCACTGAAAAGTGGTTGGGGCATTGCATAAACCGAAAAGCATCCTTCTATAAGCAAAAGTGCCACAGGCACGTGAAAGTAGTCTTCTCTTGATCATCTGGTGATATATGTATCCCGAATAACCATCCAAAAAGCAATAGTAAGCATGTCCAGCAAGTCTTTCCAACATTTGATCAATGAAAGGAATGGGGAAAGTGATCCTTCCTCCTTGCGCCGTTGAGTTTGCGATAGTCATTGCAAACTCTCCAACTTGTGACTGTGTGTGTAGAAATGAGCTCATTATTTTCATTTGGAACCACCGTAATCCCCCTTTTTTCGGCATGACCTATATTGGACTGACCCAATGGCTGTCTGATATGGGATAAATAATTCCTGCATCCAAAAGCTTTAATATTTCTTTTCTTACTATTTCCTGCATGGTCGGACTTAATCTGTGTTGATGCTCAATCGAAGCTTTGTAGTCATCCTCCATCAGTATCTTATGCATGCAAAGAGAAGGGTTCATCCCTTTTATATCCAAAATAGTCCAACCTATTCCAGTCGTGTGATCCCTTAGTACTCTCAACAACTGATCTTCCTCTGACTCTGTAAGATTATTCGAGATAATCACTGGAAGTGAACTCTTCTCCTCTAAGTATGCATATCGAAGGTGAATGGGTAGCTGTTTGAGTTCAAGGGTTGGAGCTTGCTATATAGATGGTAAAGGTGTTGGAAGGCCCTTACCGAGCTCCAAATGTGGTTGCTTGAAAAGTGGTGGTACACCTGCCAAATAACGTGCACATACTCCTGCCTCCTCCCTTTTTGATGGTAAATCCTGAAAATGCACCAAACAAGCCTCAAGAGGATCTTGAGGGTGATCAAGTATGAATGTCTCTTCCACTGCTTCCTGGATTACATTAATCGTCATGCAAGAATCTGGTTCGTTTTGAAATTTGAAGGCCCTGAATACATTGATTTTCAGTTCGTCCTCATCTAACCTCAAGATCAATTGACCTTTTTGCACATCAATCAGAGCTCTTCCCGTAGCAAAAAATGGACGACCTAAAATGAGCAGAACGTCTCTATCTTCCTCCATATCCAGGATAATGAAATTTGCTGGGAAAATAAACTTATCGACCTTCACCAAAATGTCCTCACAAATGCCCGAGGGTACTTGATCGATCTTATAAGGGAGAGAGAACGTTTCTGGCAAATGAATTGGTAAAATCACATAAATGGGTTTTAATGTTTACCATTGTTGACTATTCTTCAACTACTGCGCTACACTTACAGAAGGCATTTCACAGAAACTTTACAGATGAGGTGGCAGGATAAAAGGGGGAAAAAGAAGGAAAAGCGAAGCCAACGTAGGAGACCCTTTCCTTTACATTTCAAAAACCCCCATTCACTCGGCTGTCTGAAATCCTAGGATTTGCCTCCTTCCCCACCTCCGTTCAGCAACGAACAGTGGCCTGGAGGCTGGATTATAATCCTTTAGGCGACGAACATGTTATTACTGCTGATTTTTTGTAGAATATCCAGCTTATCTTCGATTTAGTGGCTACTGTTGTGTTCTTCAAGATTTGCACCCGCAACTCAGCGGCATCAATCTCCTTGGCTTCATTCTCTAGTCGATAATATCCGGTCACTGGGTCAGGTACCCATGAGGTCTTAGTTGATTCATCAATTCCCTTCTTGGCGATGAAGAAGTCGCGATCTTGGCAATAGAGAAACGGGAAGCCAGTTTTGGGTAAATAAAGTGAGAAAATTGAAATCTGCTGCAGAGAATTATTCTTCTTCAGCAATGAAATGTTGTCACTAGTTATTGAATATGGTTTTACAAAATGTTTGGTGATGCTTCGAACTTCTAGAGTTTGTCTGGTTGTTCGGTGGTGCTTCACGGGCCTTTTGCGCTTCACAGTCTGGAGAATTCAAAATTTCATAGTAAAAGACTGAGAAATTTAGTGCTAGCCCAAGCCGGATTGGATGTGTTGGGCCAAGCTCAGCACTTGCAATGTCCTGAGCCGACTTGTAAGCTGAGAGAGTATTTTCGACGGCTTCTTTTCGCTCGGCTCCAGTCTTAAACTCCGCCAAGTAGCGGTGATAATCACCCTTCATTATTTTGTCAAGGCAGCTTTATGTCTTGTTGATGGTGTTTAAATTCTGTTGGATGTGCAGGTTGCAATGTAAACAATGAATATGATATTGATGATGATTGTTTGATTGTTTGATGTTTTGAAATTGAATTCACATTTTTAATACCATTTCAAAGTGCTCAAAACCTAATTTCTCCCATCCCTAACGGCGTGCGAAACGGCCAACCATAGAGAAAGTTACCACTCGTCGAAGCAGGCCGTTCCAAAATATATGAACTATTTTTCTTATTTTTTGTCTC